GGCAGCAGGAGAAGCAGGAGAAGTGGCAGCAGGAGAAGCAGGAGAAGCGGCAGCAGGAGAAGCAGCAGCGGGAGAAGTGGCAGCAGGAGAAGCAGGAGAAGTGGCAGCAGGAGAAGCAGCAGCGGGAGAAGTGGCAGCAGGAGAAGCGGCAGCAGGAGAAGCGGCTGAGAGAGAAACAGTAGACATGGCAGAGGGACAAGTGGCAGAGGGAGAACCAGCAGCTGCAGGTTTTGCAGTCACCAGAGCATGGCAACCTCCTTTCTTATATCCACAAATGATGGGAAAGGTACACGTAAATGAATTTAATTATACTTTATAACTTTGGATTTTTATTGTAAAACATTGCAAATTCCTAAGTGAGATAAAGGAAATATGCACAGAAAAATTGTTATGTGTAAGTCCCTGCTTTATCTTTACAGTTAAAGGATCTTCATGTGTGGTCAACACTGCACTGCCAAATGAGCATGGCCATCCTACATGTACATGTACCGGTACTGGTAGCAAGGAATCCCCACCTGAAGCTGTCCAAAGTCAACCATCACATGCAAAGTTATCTATTGACTGTATCCTTCTTTTTTTTCTGGTCTTTGGCTGGTCAAAGGTGATAAGGTCTTTTTTATTGGATCTTTAAAACTTCAACATTCTCATATTTTCCCTTAATATTGCCCAAGCTGTGAAATATGGAGATTTTGTACGTGTGATGGTATACTCCAGCCACCGGGAAACATTTCAAACATACTATGGAGTGGTAGGTCTTTACTTGTTCTGTAGATTTGTATGTTTTTAGCATCTGGAAAAACACATCTGGGCCCTAGTTTATGAGGATACATGAACAGCTGGTAGAGCACTCTTCAGAAACCATGAATCTAAATGTACTATCTTCGCATCTTATCCCAACGCACAATGCAGGTATCTTATGTTTCATTTATAGATTTGTCTGTGAATATAAACTTAATAAATTTTCTGTTGATTTGCATAGAAAAACAATTTTAACCAAACTTTTGTCATTGATTTCTTCCTTGTAGATAGTCAAAGTTGATCCCCTTGCAAGGGAAGTTGAAGTTCAGTTCCTGGAGAAGGGCAGCAAAAACTTCATTTGGCCACTCGTGAATGACATCTCTCAGTTGCCACTGAATTACGTTCTTGAAATACTCCCTCCTCCATCAGTAACAGCTCGTGGTCATTACATTTTCGGAAATGATGACTAAACACTGGAAGCCCTTGTACAGTTTTCTCAAGACGTTACTTGATTTGATTTTCAACATACAGTTGAGATGTTACATTTTGGAAGTAATACAATTCAAAGTTACAGTTGATGTTGTTAATGCTCAGTCATCCATGCTTTCTTGCATTGCAAGGTTCTTTTTGTTTTTTCCAATCCTAGTCACACAATTATTAGTGGTATCTCAGTGGACAACCATAACAAATATTGGAAAGAGTTTCATATAAGAAGCACAAACCCTGTGAGGTTAGTCTGAAAAATCTAAGTGTCAAAGTTCCTTGTGAACTTCTTATATGGAGTTCTTTCCAAACTGTGTACATGTAGTGTACACAATGTACATGTACATGTAGGTACCCGTACAGTTCTACAAAATTATCAATTGAATTTGTGTCTGGTTTTGGAAATAGAATTAAGCAATACAACTCTAAAAGTTTTGATGAAATTTGATGAGGGCCAAATGCAAGGGGATCTTGTTGCACTTCTTGCCATAAATGCTTCAACTTGTTTACATTTCATTTGCACACAGTATGAACCAACATCCAAGTATCTCTGAATCCTTTGAAACTTTCCTCATCCCATCCAGTCAAGACATGAAATGTGTTTTACAATAATTATTCAATGAAATTCATTGTTGAAGTTCCAAGTTAATGTTTTTAAATTTCATGTTTTAGGTGCATGACAAATTTTAAGTGACATTTCATATGTAACGGAGGAACTGGTTTCTCTGTTACATGTACATATGAAATGTCACTTTAAATGTGTTATAAAAGGAATTTAACCAATTCATACTTCAGATGAAGTTATAACCAATGTCAAATAGAAGTACTCTCAAGCATTGAACCCTCTACAATACATGTACATGTACCAGTTATAATTTATTGAAAGACAAAGCTGCAGAAATTGTTCAAACTGGTTTCGTAAGAATAGTGCAAAATTTTCAACATTCTTAAGATCCTGATACATGTACTTTAAATTGGTCCCCATTTCTTTTGAAGCATCTGGAAATCTTCAAAACAGAAAAGAAGTTGGAAGTTTTGTATGATACACTTCAGAAAAATGCCCTAAAACATGGAAGCAGTTTTTTCTTTCATATTTTCAAAACTCAGTATGCATACAGTAAGCTCCGATTAAGTTGACATCATGTAACCC